AATTAGTTTATTTTGCTGCATTGAATCATAAATGCAATAAACAGAACTCAAAACCCAAACCCAGTCACCCCACCCTCCACCCAGTTTTTATTATTTTTTAATGAAGTCCTTGGTGGGCCGGACTGAAGTCACCCATGGGTGGCCCGTGGATCACATGTTGAATAACCCTGCTCTACCATATGTTAATACAGTATTTGCAGTATTAATTATTCCCTCATTTGCATAGCCTCTTTGAAAAGTCTGGAAACTGAGTAGACGGCACTTCAAACACACGTGTTTACCTGGTCCTGCTCTCCTCCACCTTCTTCGTCGTAGTTGAGCACGTTTTCTCGGATGTCCTCCCACTCGCCATGGTGAGCAGACACATGGTAAACCCCCTCCTTGAGGCCCTTGTGTCTCCTCCAGCAGGAGTAGAGAAACAGCCCCAGCATCAACACTGAGGGGTGCCAGAGAGCGTGTTAGCGCAGCAGGGAGCACTCTCACATGATTAAAACCAGATTCTGACATGACTTCAGGTGCAAATGAAATGTGAGAGGAAAGTTGTGATACAACATTTCGAAGCTCTGAACACCCCCCACTGGCATCACCATGAGAATTAATTCATTTTTTCACATTACGTGAAATAAACATCATATAATGAATAATGAATACAAAAAGCCATAACACTGATTCATCCCAAAATGCCGGCTAACTGCACCCAGATTACAGTTAAGATGTTCTAATGGAGCATACGTGGAGAGGGAGACCCCACCTTTCCACCTATTCCCTTTGATGCTGCTTCGCTGCTTCCTGCCTTATCAAAGACTACAGTTCCTCAGAAACCTATTAAATGAGTTTGTGCTCTTCCCAGCTTAAACTCAAAGCCTCAGTGGCTCAGCTAAACACCGAGAGGAATACTGCGGAAGCTAAACAGGAAAGGTCCTGAAGCCTACACATCAATCACAGCTTTTGTGTGTTGAATTATACAACATGCTGGACTGACCTTTAAAATCCATTAATCTCAAGCAACATTTTTATCCCTTCTGCCATCCTTCTTGCTCATTTTTCAGCTCTTCGCTATCTGTTTGTACTGGTTGACACTCTGAATCTCTTCCTCCGTTGTCTCTGGGTATTTGTTTCCTTTCAGTTGCTGTGGATGGTGCCCCCCCTTCTCACTCATTAAGCTTCTTGCTGTTCCTGTTCTTCAGTCCTTCTCTGGCCTCTTCTGGCCTCAGCTTTTATCTCGCTCGCAAGATGGGATCCATTTCACCCAGAGTGGTTTACATCGTGCGTGCTAAGTACCAGTTTAAATTAAAATCTTGGAAGAAACGCGAGGTAACGGCATTAGTCTGGATTTTTAAAGTAATTGCTTCGAAAGGAAATAATGCGCCGACGACTCTTTGGTGAGCTTGCGAGCAAGAAAAACAACTCCCCGAGAAGAAATCTGTGCAAAAAATATCAAACCTACCTCAATTAAAAATCATTGCTTTTCAGTTACAAGAGTTAGACTCCCAGTTTGCTGCGCACTTGGATTTTTATGGTCCTTTTGCACTTTTTTTTTTTAAGCATCCCACATAAATCCTTAACTGACTGTTCTCTGTGTGGGGTGGAGCAGTATCGATGAGCTGACCTGGCTCTTTCACCGTTACGCCTGAGTAGCCTTGAAGAAAACACCAGGATCTTGATCAGGTGCCAACCAGGTGCTGGACCACGTCCTCACCTGCAGGAATACCTGCAGGCCTGAGCTCAACTCATCTCTCCACATCACCCGAGCTGGTTTTAAACACATCACTTAAGGGAAGGAGTTCGATAGATGGTATGGAGGAGCTGACTCAGGACCCGTCCACAGCAAATATACTAAACTAATCGTGTGTAAACAAGCACTGCACCAAACCCTGCTGCTTTACACCTGTGGCAACTACCACACAGAGTTTTGTGAGTAAAAGTGCAACTACGTTCAAGAGAGATCAATATCACACAGGGCAGGGCAGAAACATCTCAGTCATTCATCAATCCATAACACCTCTGCCTCTCTGCCCTCGAACTGTTATTATGAACAGGGTATTATGATGTTAGCCCGGACCAGGCTGTGCATTATGAATGAGCAAGAAGTAAACTATAACCCGGGATGATCCGAACACCTATCCAATTCACCGCACCTCCACTCTGAGAGTAATGAGAAACAAAATGAGCTGTGAAAAAGATGAAACAGCAGCAAGGGGGAAAAGCAAACCAATGAAAAAGGGGGAGACGGAAATGAGACAGGTGAGAGATGAGGACGAGTTGGAAAAATTATTTATTTATACATTTTTCAGAGCTGAAAAAGGAAGAGGCACTTTACACAATTGCTCAGCGTCTGAGCCCATATGGGCGGCTAATTTCCTCGATCTATCAGAAACAGAGAGTCAGATTTGATACTGGACTAATGAGCATCTGCTTCTGTCAATAACCCAGTGAGCTCACACAAGTTGCACCATGATGGTTTATGTAAACCTTAATAATGGACGATCATTTTATCTTTTAATGCACATCGAGGCAGAGTGAGTTGCCTTTTTAATCTAGCACGCAGCCGGCAGCCTTTCTCGGACATTTACAGCAGTGGCTCTGCTGTAGTTCTGTAAAACTACAGTAGTTGTTCCGTAAAGTCAACAATTAATTTCATTTCCAGACGTAGCCGAGCGTTTTGCTTAAAGTGAAATATTTGAGTTGTTTACTTTTAAATTATTTTTCAGGAGTGTGAAAATATAATTACACTCCCCAACGAGTGCTCGTTCTGATTTGAATTGCATTATGGAGCAGTCTGTCATCCTTAGCTGAGGTGAAAACTTTGCACTCTGAATACAAATACCTCATCTGGACAAACAAGTCCAAAATGGACAGCTTTGTTCTCCTTCTTTTTATAGTTCGCATTGCAAGCATGCATTAATTTCCCTGAAAGAAACAAGGCCACACTTCATCAGTGCTGCATTAATTATCAAATATCGAGGACAACTTTAGATGTTTTACTCTCAAGTGTCAGAATAACTGATGCTCTAATACTAGCCACAAAGCCCTGCGGGGAATGTTGAGTCAGTTATAGGTAGGGACAGTATATTGAATTTCCCAAGTGTTTTATATGTGACACAAGCACTCATAAACAGCACTGCAGCCTTTTGAGGGAAGCGAGTGCAACAACATGTGAGCCATTCGTCTTTCCATCTTGGTGAGAACACGAAAAAAACACAATTTTTCTTGTACAATCCCTTAAAAATCAAATCTAGTTTATTCACTTGCTCACCCTTAATGGTGAAAAAGATCTTCCATCTTTTCTGAAACATTTGTGGAAATATTGATGCATGCTCTTTTTTTTTTTTTTGTAAGGCCCTCTGGCAGAAGATGTGGGTAGATATTGAATCTTGATTCTATTAGAGCTTAACACCCTTTATGAAACCATCAAGCATGCAGTTTCATTCGGCGGCTCACACAGGCGGGCCGGTGTCATCAGTTCAGGTCGAGAGCTGAAACATCATTTGAATAATCAGTCGAGCTGATCGTTTTCTGCTTTTATTAGCAGTTAAAAATAGAAACGGCTTTTCCTTGCTTAGCTTTTCTTTATCTCTGTTTTGTTATTTTAATGCTTAATATGTTTTGGTTGGAGCGCTTCTTAAATGGCAGAGGGAATATTTTTCACATTTTCCATAAATAAAATTAAACTTTACAAGTAACTTATGAGTCAGAGAAAACAAATAGGATTCATGTACAGCGACATCGTAATAACTTTTGGAGTTCACCTGATTTACGATGGTTTGTGGTCTTAGCAAACAAAACATGTTTCTTGAGATTACATTTGTCGTGGTAGTAGCTGACAGTCATCCCCATACACATAATTTCATCACTAATAATAATGTTTGATTATTTGCTGTGTGTCTAGAGCTGATGAACTTCTGGAGTCAACATGATTCAACAGTTAACGTTCATTAAAAACACACAAATGGCTGCATTTAAGACAATTGTGCAGATATTAAAGTACAGTTTGGTGTGGTAGTAGTTGAGACTTATGCCCAAAACACGCACTGAGTGCCAACAGATTGCTTGCTTTTTTTTTTGTTTGTTTAAAACTTTGGAATACCACTTTTTTTATTTTAGGATTCATGAAAAGAGAACAAATAAATTTTATGTAAAAAATGTCACTAAAAATGATCCGCCAGGCTCAGATTTAGAATCTGGATTTTTCATTCTGACTTGTTATATGAAAACATTTGTGCTTCACTTCACTCTATCAGTTGCTCACTTGTTGCTTACATTGAACGCATAGTGAACCCCCCCCCCCCAAAAAAAAACAAACAAAAAAACAACCAACAACACATGTACAAATGAACATTAAAGAGTCGTCAAACATTAAAAATTTACAATTAAAACCTGCAGATTCGCAAAACACAGATAGATATTCATCTTTGATTGCAAGTTTGTGTTGCTTTTTTTTTAAATGTCAAAAATATGTTGTTTTAACTGCAACAAGCCTGCATATGTTCTCCATACTTACCCATATTTTGTCTGTCCTAAACAGTGCTTATATAAGGGCATCAGAGGAAAATCTTAAACATGCAACAGCTTGGTAATAAACAGGCATAAAGATAAGACTGCATAACCCTCAACTTACAATTATTGATTTGAAGATTCTGCCTTTAAACTACAAAGAAGTCAGAAGTTTCTTTCCAGTTTGTGTATCTGAACTCGTGACCCTTTATGTGTCAGAGTGCAGCTTTAGATCAACCGTCGAGTCTTCAAAGGAAGACTTTGTCAGTAACAGCCCTCAAACTCCCACATCCAAAGCTTCAAAAATATTTCCACTCAAAATCTTCCATCATAACTTTTGACTTCATCATTTTCTCCACTAAAGCGTGAATCCATCAGGTGAGCATGATAATGACTTGAAGTGATGCTGTAATTTTGTCTCACTTGTCACAATGCTCACTATTAAGGCATAAATATTTTTCACCTGGCTCCTTTTAGTGCTGAGAGCAAGCTGTGCTACAGCAGGGGATGTGTGTATAGCTGTATCCTTCTTCACAACACACTCTATATAAATTGCTGTTACAATCCTCTCATACTAAACTAATTTTAGATCAATATACACTTAGAATGATTCTGATAAATAAACTCGTGTGACAGATTTTAAATCCTACTTTTAACAACTCTAAGCTCTGCAACGACCCAGATTGATGAATGGGATGATAAAAGCTGCCTTTTTTTGGTCTGTTCCATATGTTCCATATGCTGCACAGCAGTAAAGTGTGCAATAGGGACACGTTTAGCTCGACATGGTAAAATAGAAATGTACCCAGAAATGTATAAAAGACAAGTGTCAAGGGGGTAGAATGAGTGGATGGTGGGATATAAAATATGCTGGACAATAAAAAGAAAAGCATGGTTTGGAGTGAAATTGACTTTTGAGACATTTAAAGAGAAAGAGCACACAGAAGTGTTGGGAAACGTGAAATAAATTAAAAATAAATCCCAAGAATTCCCTTAAACCGTAAGAGCCTTTCACAGAATTCCTATAAATCACAAATTACGGCAGATAGTTCGTCTCCTCGCTCGCCGCTTCTCTCCCTTTTGTAAATATTTGTTTCATGCTTTCACCGACCACCCACAGACAAATCACATCCCGGAACAACTCAAGATCAATACAGCAACAAGATATGCCGTTTACAGATTTCACAGAAAACCAAAAGGGCGGGGAACAAATCAAACAGCTGGTTTACGGGTAAAATAGACGATGACAAAGTGCGATCGTGGCGACGTGACAATGGCAGCAAATCACAAGAAGATGAAAGATGATGAGCAGCACAAAATAAAGATGGGTTACCATGTGTTGAAGAGGACATAGTCAACATAGCTACCTAGAAAGGCCATGACACAGATGCTGATGGCAAACATGGAGCTCAGGCTGAGGCTGTTGCTGTCCTCGCTGTGGAACACGGCGAGTGACACCTCGCAGTGCCGCCCACGGTAGCCCTCGCTGCAGAGGCACGAGTAGCGTGCCGGAGAGTGAGCCACGCACGTGCCGTGGCGACACGGCCGGCTAGCGCACAGCGTGTACACGCACACTCTGCCCGAGGAGCTCTCTCTGGTCATGTGGCCTGGAGGGCACCTGGACAGAGAAGATGAAGACGTGCAAATCAGAGACACAAGACGTTCGGGAAGCTGTCAAATAAAAACCAGAACATGATTCATGAATTCTGATAAAAGTTATGAGAGCTAAGCTGATAGTGTAAAAGTAAACCCCTCAGGAGTTACACCTCTTATATCAGATTCTAAGATATGGCACTGAAAGGGTACTGAATGTTGACTGTAAATGGGGGAAGGGAAAGGAACAAGAAACGGATTCCAGGAGCTAAGATTGGCTTTGCAATTGTAGACCCTCAGTGTATTTGTACAAAATATCCCCTCCAAATATAATTCATCCCTGCCCCCTGCTCCCCTCTGTGCTTTGTATCCTGAGGCTATGCTGCAATCACAGAATATGGATGTCAAAGTCCCTACTGGTTTGGAGTGCTGAAATCACAGCAAAGAGAATTAGTGGCCCTGCAGAGTTTAAAGGGACAGTCAAAACTCTGACAGTCACTGCTGATGTACACAATCCTCTCGGGCCGACTCATTTCACATGGAGCGTACGTTGAACTCAACCTCGCTGCCATCTGTCGGTCTCCTTCCACTTCAAGTCAAATGAGGAAAATTCACATAAAATTACCACATTTTATGATGCATAAACCCATTTGTCTGGATTCATTTCTGGATGCTTAATTTATTTTTTTATTATAGTTGTTGCACTGTAAGGATAAAATACTTAATAATAAAAGTAAGTGACCTGTTTTGTGCATACTGATGTGCTAAAAAGGACGTCATTTTCCTTCATGAAAGATTGTAGCTCTTGTTTGCTGGTTTCCTGGAACAATTACCATTGAGTCCAAGAGGATTGCTTGTAGATTGCAATGAGATATATTTGTTCATATAATTTCAAGTGAATCAAAGACATCTGTGAATTAAATATATTCTGTTGTGTAAATTTATTTGAGGACTAACAACAGAGACGCCTGGTTGACTCATATATATTTTTATATAACGTTGGAAGCATTGAATGTCGAACCTCCTAGTTTTCCAGAGTCTCCAAAAATTTAAGTGGGGATTTCAGTTTCCTTGCTTGAGTTGCAAAAGCTTGCCGTCTTAACACTTAATTTTTTGGCGTGACAAATTTTCACACAAATAAGTTGCAGAGTTCTTGCAGGTGTCTCAAACCCTTAACAATTTTATCACGGGCTCTTACAAGCACAAAAACTGTTTTTGAGAGCTTCCCTCTGACACAAAACAAGTTCTGGCCAGTAATGAAATTAGACTATTCAAACACTGGTTCAAAATTGTCTTTCATTTCAAAATCGAAAAAAATGTATTAGATTAAAGTATAAACTTTGGGGTACATAGGATGTGGGTACTAAGTGGTCAGAGATGTGTATGATGTTGGTGAAAGTGGACAATAAAAACATTTGCTTGGCCTAAAAAAACAGCTTAAAATAAGTTGTGATTTTCAGAAACTGCTGGCTCAAATGTGGCCACGTAGCTTGCTAGTTGATCAGTCATAAATATCCAGATTTCTGTAAGAATGCGATGGATAATTTGACTTTTTTCTTGCAGTATTTGTGTCAAGTTTGAGCCGATAGTGCACTGAGACACCATGTTTACATATTAGCTTATTGGCAGCTAAATTTACAATAATGAATCATAGATTAGTAGATATAAGATGTTAAATCTAAGGAACAACAATGAGTTATCCAGTTTTAAAAAGATCATGTTTTGTAAAATATGTGAGTGCATGCAATCAAAATTTTAGTAGAACATCCTATGCATGACTTGTTTCTTTGCTCACTGTGGGGCATGCGTGTAAATATGTACAAAGCGTGCCTGCACACTTTAAGGCTGCTTTACAACGTCGAGCTGTGTGTTCTGCATATTTACAGCACCTGCACTCATGCTGCCTCCAGAGATCCACGCACACCAAGGGAGGGGAGCAGTGATGTTTTCTGCAGGCATCTGATGAGCAACCAACAGAGACACCCTGCGCCGTGACCACCTGAAGCTCTTCTGAACGCTGTTCCTGATCCAGGGGGATGAGGCGCCCGTTAAACCTCACATCACGCAAACAGCCTGGTAAAAACAGAGGAAAAGGAGACGCTAAGTCCTCAGGCAAAATGCTTTAAAAGCACACATTTACACAGCAGCAGGGGTATAAACTCGGGTATGGAGTCGCACATTAACAATCATAGACTTGCTGACACACCTGCAGACCAACGCTCCCACACAACCAAACATACAAACAGCCTCAGGCTACGCTGTCAGCGTGGATTTTTTAAATATTTTTTTTGGGTGGATGTACTTTCTCTGCTGGTTAGTTTACTTACTTTGTGTGAAACATGAGGTCTAACACGTCATGTAAATGCGTATCGGTGCCACTTGTTCTCACCAGTCTGTGTGAAACTGAGGCATCAACACAAGTCTGGACCAGGCACATTTATAAGCACTTACTTGTCCAACTGAGAGCTCGTCTCCCTTGGATGATAGTAGCCGTTTTAATGAATTTGTCATTTTGAAATGTATATTTTTACTTAACCAACATTTCATCCGCTCACTGATTTATCAAACTAAACAGCATAAAAGGAGGGGATTAAACCCTTTTCAACTTTTCTCTGTTTCAAAATCAGCTTAAATTAAATTAATTTCATTTTCAATTCACACAGTGCTCCACAACGACTGAGCAAAAAACAAGGTGATGAGTTATTTGAATAATTTATTTACACAAGGCTAGTACTGTATTTTCTATTCATTTAACAAATCAGATCCTTTTAAACTGAAGTTTTGTATAATTTACTCAGATTAGAGGTTCTTCCAATGCTTTTTTACGTAGATTAATTAAAAAAAAAAACACCTGTATCTTATATAATAATAAAAAAGGCCAAAGGTTGGTTTTCCATAATATATTGCAATGTGTGAGTAATAATGTAGAACTGCAACAGATCTTGAGAAGGACGCAAGCAGATACTTACAATTATAAAAGTGACTACAAACAGATACCATGCTTACATAAAATTCATTTCATACATTTAAGAGCATTTTAGATCCTTTTGTCATGAGTGGAAGGGATTTGACCACTGGTTTCTGGTTGCTTGACTCCAGAGGTGAGGAAAATGTCAAATTATGATCCTTTAACTTGTACTGAAGCTGTCTTTACACCTTGTGATCAATGTGACTATTTAAAAAAATGAAGCGGAAACAAGACATTATCTACCAACAATAAAAACATAATTTCCTTAAATAATCCAACAATGTTCAGTCAGGTCATCTGGACAGTTCTTTTTTTGCTGAGACGTTTGGTCCTTCATCCAAAGGACTTATTCGATCTGAGGAGCCGCCAACAAACAAGACTGATTCCCACAAACAGCATAATCCATAGTGGAAAAAACATTTAGCTGGTGCTAAGATGGCCTCTGGGGCCCACCCTCTCCTCCATCAACTCCCCTGAAGGCAGACATGCCAAAGTGGTTCTAAACACCAAAGTTCATGCTCAACAATCCAGACATAAAATCCAACAATGTTCAGTCAGGTCATTTGTACAATTTCTTTTTTTTTTTTCTGAGACATTTCATCCTTCATCCAAAGGACTTCTTCAATATGATGAACCAACAAACAAACTGATTCCTTAAAGAAAAGAGTAATTCTTTCAGTGTAATTCTTGAATGAACCCTGTCTTGATCTGAACTAAACAAATAATCTCTTGAAAAACCTAAAAATGACCGTACACGGGCTTTTCGCCTAACATGGCAGAGATTTGATGTTTTTGCCAAGACTTACAAAAGATGTGCCTAAAACATTGATGGTCAAAGTGATGAAGTGAAATGGGAGAACTGTGGCGCATACATTGAATAGACAAAGAAAAACTTTCTGCAACATTATGAGCACATTTACTCGTGTTTGTTAAAATAAGAAAGAAAACACCTACCAAGGTAGCTGTGGTTGTGTCCAGAGGGAAAAGAGTTTCCAATCATGACCACAGTGGGATCTATAATGATTTCCTGACTCTGGCCAGGCGAGGCTGTAACCTCCAGTCGCCCCCCACCTCCATCAAGTCTCAGGGTAAATTCTCTTCCGTAGCGATCCAGCTCAACTTCATGCCACTCCCCGTCATCAAGCCGATGGTAAGCTAGGGTGACGTTGTAGTCTCCATCTCCAAGATTGTAGAAAACAACCAGCAGGCCCTGAACAAGCTGAGACACAGAGACGCTCATTGATGATGTGAAAATCTTACATTTTACAAAACATTTTAATACTCAGTCAGGATTCCGACATTGTTACTCTACTTTAAGGAACTTTTGTGCGGTTGTGAAACAAGATGTTCGATTTTATCAGCTGCTGCAGCAAAACTATTTTCCTGCAGATTTCAAGGCTTGTGGGGGGAACATTACAAACTAGGATGACACAAATCCTAGCAGAGTGACAGCCTGACAAAGCTGAATTTCTGCCATACTGTGTCGTGTTGATGGGCAAAAAAACAGCTCTTGAGCATAACGACATGATAAGAAGTAGGCCAGCTCCCAAGGTGAAGAGAATGCAACTTAGGTTGAACAATTGTGAAACTGAAGCACCCAGACATGACTGTCTGTGATGAACCTGAGAGGAAATGACACAACAATTTCTGCTGGGAAAAAAAAAAATATTAAGCAATTTTGCAGTAAAAACACTTTGCAAAGGCGCTACACACATTAATTCGTGGCACAGTCATCCCGTAGGCAAGGTGTACATGAAACAATAATTATCTTTAGCAGTTAAGGATGAGCGAACACAATGGACTCAACCATCGTGAGGCTCCCATAACTGCAGCTTGTACATGTCCAAGGCCTAATTGGAAACAGTACAGCTAGATAATTCACACTCTGCCCAGCTCGCATTAACTACTGCTCCCTCAGCATGAGCATCTCAAATGTGCAGTTCAAATGGGCATGTGGGCTGGACACACACACACACACAATACACACGCGCGCACACACAGAAAGGAAAAAAAAAAACATGCTTACTATGTATGGCCTAGTCTCACCTCCAGTACACAACCAAAATGCAAACAGTACTTCATCAATATTTGGGTAAAACTTGATTATATAAACTTTATTTGGCACCACCAGATGTGTTACCGCATTTTTTTCAAACTAAAGGCCTAGTATTCATTTCAGGAAGGCACTTCATTTGCTGCTTTCAGATCATCTCGTGTTGAGAAATGATGGAGGAGTCCCTCGCTACTTCACGGTTCGACTTTCGCGGACTCGCTCTATCACGGTTTGTGAACGTACAGTACATTTTATTGTACAAAAAAAAAATTGTAGCCTACAGGACACATGACTGTCAACTTTAATATTATTCACATGATTGGGACAATACTGGATACTGTACAGTAAAAAGTTAGCGAAAAAATAAAATACTTCAGACAGGCGCCGCCATTTTGTAGTTTTCTCTTAATAAGCCTTCACTGTGCTCATAACAACTACATTTCCCAGAAGCCAACAGTGCTCTGCTCAGAAGCCCCATCTCCTTCTGCTGAAATACTAGAGGGAAAGTTTTGATCTGGTCGGAAAAAGTTTGCTGCTTATTACAATTACTTTTGCACCTAGCAGATGCAGAGAGCCACACGGAACCCATCGAACTGGAGCAGAACCAGAGCAGAATCAGACCTACCGACACATCGGTGAATTTTGAGAGCTGGTAGCCAGCCCACAGGGACCTCTACGCGGGGACAAATGCCAAAGATCAGGGGGTCCACCCGGAGGCCATTGGCACCTTTTCCATTTCTTTCAATCGGCCTGCAAAGAGCCCTGAGCAGGACATGTGTGGCCAAAGGTCCGACGGTCCATTCGGAGCCCACCAGCACTTTTACCTGGCCCACATGGACCTCTGATCAGGGACACGCTGGTAATCAAATTTAGAAGCTACTGTACATGTAAGTGCGTTGTTGAGATTAGTAGGTTTAAGAGTTTAGAAAACTGATTGTTGGCTTCATTGCTGCAGGGCAGGTTTGCATAAATGGAGCCGAGTCCGACCAGAACAGAGTCGGACTGGAACCAAGAGCCACTCCTGTTCTGCACAGGCTGGTAAGTAAAAATTAGTAGCTACATATAGAATACTGTACCTACAGTATAATGTTTAAATGATGTAGATTGAGCATAGAACATTTCAAGAGTGTGGGAATGGTTTCAAAAGCCTTTATATATATATATACACACACACACACACACACACACACACACACACACACATATATATATATATATATATATATATATATATATATATATATATATATATATTAAAATAACGAGTCTACTTCGCGGATTTCACTTATTGCAGGGATGAGGGGGCTGGAAAGAAACAAACACCCACAATAAATGAGGGACTATTGTACATTCTGAAAATTTTCATTCATATCCATGTAGTGATTTATGAGATATTTTGCCAGCAAACCAGCATAATTAACTTCAATAGTCATTGACAGAGTCGTAAAAACGGCTCTTGTCTGATCAGTTAGAGCTCAGAACATAGGTTGGGGATCCATCTGAGCCACGAGTGCATCATTTTTTAGACCAAATACCTGTAGAACTGACTGAGTTATTGCCATTTACTGTATATAAGGTCAGCTGGTTGTTGCAGCTACATGTACTTTGAATCAAGTCAACTCCAAATGTTTATCGACTGCTTAAGTACATCCAGTCTGCAAGTTTCATTAAAATGTGTCCAGTGGTTCATGAGATATGTATTTCAGTATCAGACAGGCACACATTTACCAGTAAAAGCATTTTCACTCCATCTGCATCTTTTGGCGCTGGGCGATAAACATGTCTGAAATTTCAGATATTACAAAGCTATATATTTTCATAGTTTTAAATGTTACTGGTGTTTGACAATAAGTTTAATGCATTATAGTCACTCTGGAAAACTTTATCTCAGAGTGCTTTGGATAAATGTTTTCTTTACTGAGAGACCATACTCCTCAGAGAGCTGAATGCTGTTTCTACCCAGCTAGCCCTTGATAACCTCTGTGTGAAAGTGTGGTTATTTATTCAGTGTGCACTCTATTCCATAGCTACCCTTAAGAAAAAAGGGCATGGAGGCAGCCCTTTAAATTAGAGCTTGTTGTCGGAAAACACAGCAGGCTTGTGCTCAAGTGTTTCTGTGAGCTCTGGGACAACAAGACTGAAAATGTTTCAGTGTGCTGGCTGCAGACAGACATCAGATGCTTTATGCAGCTCACCGATTCAGTTCCAGAGAGGGTTACACAGAGAGGCTTCACAGCACATTAAAGACTACAGCATTTTTCCTTTTCCCTGTCACCGTGGGACTGCAACATCGGAACAGGACACCATTGTTTCTCCTCATGTAGCGTTAAAGCCCCAAAGAAGAACAAGAGACAACGCCTTAAACAATGCTGTCTGACAAATAACAAGCACCAGCCCAGAGACATGATGTTCTTCAAAGTCAGACCAGTGGTGTGAACTCCACAATAACAGAGGCAGGTTCAGTGGAAACAGGTGACCTGTGAGTGACAGTCCTACCAGAGTCGTTTACTTCCAGGTGCTGTTCCCACTCGGCCTGTCAGCTGACAAGATGAAATGCTTTGACAACGAATACCGCCTTCATAAACACTCAAAAATACGTCAGACAGTAGAGGCATGCTATTATGGAGGTTTGGCAAAAGTGAAGTAGACTTAAAAACTGTTCGAGCACTGTTCCACTCCAGTTGTAGAAAGAAAGGCGAAGACATGACTGAGAGCAAGGTACTCGACGTGAACAATGTTTAAAGCTTCAAGTGTCAAGAAGGGGGTTTGACCTTCCATATACTATGATGCTAACTCACTATCCTACAATAAACTGGGTTTGAAACATTAACAAGAATCAGATATAACCGTAAAAATGAAGAAGGCCGATTTTTAATAATCTAATCCTAGCAAAAGACAGCATTCTGCAATCCACTGAAAGAGCCTGTTAAGAACATACATATGCCACTCACCAGCCCCCTCAGTATCCACCCAAATGCCTTCAACCCTGATATTACTCACTCTCTGCTTGACAAGCATCTCCAGCAATCATCTGCAAGGCCTAATCATCGTTTTAAGGCTCACAAACAAGACAATTGCAGCTGGAAAGGTGGAGGCGAGTGACCGGCCATGACTCACCTCTAAGCGTAGGTATTCGCTCTGCTCCTGGGACAGCAAGCTGAGGATGACACCCGCTCCGGCACGTGTCCGAACCCCAATCTGGACTCTGGTGTTCCGCGCAGGCAGAGACCACTCGAGCTGGAGCTGAACGTGGCTCCGACCGTCAAAGGAAAACTCCGGAGCCACTTGTCAATCAAAAACATAAAAAAGGCTTGCTTCAATTATTTCAGCTGTCACATGGAAGATATGCGAGGGAATCACAAGCAGTCTGTGCAAGACTGTGCAGAACCACTTTATGCAAGGTGAGGTTATCTTCCCACACCAACAAATTTTCCATTTGGTCTGTGCACCTTGTAAGGCTTGGATTCAAAATAGACCATAAACATCCTGGTCATTGAAAAGCACCTCTACATACTTACATTGATTGCACTGCGGGCCCGTAAAGCCTTTTTCACACAGGCAGCTGAAAGAGCCCCTCTCCCCGTGACAGCTGCCCCTCTTGCTACAAGAGGAAAGCTGCTCCACGTCGGTGCAGTGGTTGTCAATAAGACTGCAGCCCAGCAAAGTGTTGGAGGATTCAGCGGGGGAACCAAGGTCATACAGCTAGATGGAAAATAGAAAAAATGGGGAACGGGAGAAAGATATATACAAGAAAAATGTATTAACAAACACAGGAAAGGAAGGAAATTGAGTGGGAGGCTGTTACTCTTCTCGCTGTTCTAGGTAATGAGTGTAAATAAATATGATAGTGAACTTAAAATGAACTTTGTCGTAATATTTGTACTGAAAATGGGACAAAACAAGTAAAATAAGCAAGAAATGGAACAACTTGTACTATTACCTAGATCTGGAATTGTAAATGTTTGTATAATCTTTGTAAAAGTATGTCAACAAATGGCAGCTAAATCCTTCTAGGTGAAATGTTTAGCACATACTGCAAGTACTTCTCAGAGTACAATACATTGTGCATATTACTGCAACAAATTTTAATTCAATATTTGTAAACTTCACTGAGTTATAGTCATTTTTGTGTCTTCTAAAACAAGTTTACTGTGGCAGCCATCTTGGGTTGACACCAGAAGTTTCTCAGTTGAATATCTGTATCTAATGATCACTTTCTAAAAATTCAAATGTACTAATCTACAATTCATTAAAATCTGTCCTCTGGTTGATGAGATATGTTGCTAATGCTACGGACACGTGAACACACGCACGCATGCACACACACACACAAAGTAAAAAAAAAACATTTTCACCTTTCATCCTCGACAACAGGGGATAATAAAAATCCTCTTCTACTAAGCAGGTTTTTAAAATTGGAAGATAAAACTTCACAGCAACATTAAATTAAATGTTAGAGCAGTGTGAAAAACTCATATTCCTTCTGCTGAAATTAAGCGTTTAATTAAGCAATCTGTTCGTGCTAATCAAATGCACTTGATGAACTCATCATCAGTAAAGGTGAAGATCTCTGAAAGCAAAGGTTTGGGCAGTTTGCTGGTTTTAGAGCATTCAGTCATGCATTTACACCACGCCCAGGTGAAAAATCTCATGTCTTAGACAAGAAATTAATGCTGCTCATATATCAAGGAAAGGTTATAAGGATCATTTAGCATTGAGAAAAAATAATAATTTTTCAAAAACTCATTGAAAAGAAGCATTTGTGTGTTTACTTTTGTTTTTCTGTCAGGAACGGGTCCAACACCTGACAGGATGTCAACGCATGACTTCCTCTAAAAGCATGGACGCAGAACTGCAACCTCTGAAGTATTTTTGTTTTTGAAGTTGTAAAAAATGTTTAGTGCCCTGGTTTGATTTATGTTTTGGTTAGAGGTTGAAAAACCTTCTTAATCACCCTGGACCTGTCTAATTGCTGAAAAAGTTTGGATTAGATTTATGGTAAAAGCATCAGGGAATGGATTCTGTCAGTGCAGTGGTCTGATTGAAACTTAGCAACAAACCTGTTTTTGTGTGTTTGGGTGTACATTAATACTGTTTAATCTTTGTAATAGTTTATTATAGGTCTGGCTGATTAAATTGATGCATTTTGGGAGTTTAATTGCTGTGTAGTAAGTTTGATGCAGACTGGGTCTTTGCTTTATTGATTAAAGCTCCACTTATTTATTTCTGTATTAAATCTGCTACCTGCTTTCTTCTGGTTTGTGACCAGTGCAAAGTACATTCAGTTTATTTGTGTTTTACACCAGGATGAAATGCAGAAGAATAATGTTTTTTTGGCCATGTCCTGTGGATGTGTCTTTCCTGTTGGCAATATATCTTATGAGCTACTAAATTATTATAATAAAACCTCCAGAAAGCAATAATTGGATGTGCATCTAGGACTGACTCATTTTTGGAGTAAATCCAATTCAAGATTTTCTGATGCATGCTCATTAATCCAAGTAGATACATCTAACAAGATTGAGTCAGGTCCTCTGGATTGAATCTTTTTTTGTTCAAACGTTTCATCTGTGGATTAAAGATGAAACGTTTGAACAAAGAAGAATCTGTCCAGAGGACCTGACTCAACCTTGTTAGACCAATTCAAAATGGCTGCTACAGCTAAATATTTGTGTGGTTTTAGCTGGCGTTCATTCACAACAGAAACTAAACTAACCAATCATTTGAGACATTGAAATATTGTCTGAGTTTGCACATATTTCAATGAAATCCCAGATCTACCATGAGATCTGTATCCTGAGTACAAATAGTAGATTCTGATGAATGTAAAAGCAGTACCATATTATTTGCATAATTTCCCACGCTATAACCATCCAGGGACCGTATGAAATGAGAGAGAAGCCTTCATTCAAGCTAACAAATGTTCACCATGGGACATTTTTCACTCACAACAAGTTGATATTGATTTGCGGAGACGTCAAGTGAACTGAAATCATGAATATAATAACAGAGGCATTGGATTCTGTCCATGTTGGCTCTATAGGGTCAAGGAGTCAGCTTTTTTCTCCTTTAATGTGTGACCTAACTGTAGCATGGGCTGACAAACCCAAAAATATCACATAAAAATGAACTGAAATGAATCAATAAAAAAAAAAAGTCACAATATGTTTTTCAATCAACAGAATCAACTGCAGGGAACTGAAGTGATTGATTTCCGAGCAGCAAAATAAACGCACTGAAATCTCACAGAGCAGACCGACACCTGCAGGAGAAGCTCACATCATATGTTAAAAAAAAACCTCTCAATCACATTTACACAAATATGATTCTGCTATTTTAACTCGACTTGGCTAATTTACACTTCTATTTTAAAATAAAATGCACTTTTTTGGTACACAGCATTTAAAACTGATAAGACTTTTCACTCTGATTTTAATGATAATCTGAAATAGATTAACCAAATTTTAAAATGCTGCAGTGCTAATGGCAAATATTAAACAAAACCCACTAGCCAAATACTAAATTAGCTTACCTAAATATGCATTAGTTAATTATAGTTATATTAAACAATTAGCATTTCTTTAAAGAATACATACTACCCATTGCCTTTAAAGTCAAGTCTTTAAAATAAGACCTTCCTTTTATGAGAAATGACAGAGCTCTGAAGGTTTGGCCAAACCTTCTTAACGACGTTATGCATAATTTCATGTGGTAATGAGATGTGTTATAGCTTAGAGCATGCATCGAGTATGAGTCGCACATAAAACCACATAAACAGCTGTTTTTCTGTAAATTTGACTAAATAATGGCCATAGTTGTGTTGGCAGAGGTCAATTAGTTGCTCTCTATGGTTGACCTCAAAAGTCAATTGGTTGAAAATGAGAGCTTTAAAAAAATCCATCATATCATTCATAAGATGTTTTTCTTACAGTCAATGTTGACTGTAACAGTTATTGACAAAGTTTTAAGCATGGGCATTGCTTTATATGTAGCACTCAGAGGATGTGTTGGGATGACTCTCAGCTACTACCGCCACATTTGATCTCATTGCCTTAAAAAGTAAGTTTCTTTCAGCCACTCCCTCCTTCAGAGGTTGCCACAGATAACTCGCATGAAAGATTTGGCAATTGTTTTATGCCAGATGCTCTTCCTGACACAATCTGGGCTCGAACTTGCAACCTCAGGATTACAAGACCACAGCACTGACCACCAAGCTACCACAGTCACAGCTCACTATTTAAAGAAATAAAGACTGAGTTATAGCTATTAATGTGTTTGATAACACTGAATTTCCGTGGCCGCCATCTTGAATCAGGGTGACTGACACCTAATCAGTTCTGAATGTATCCATTAATTAAATCTAATTAATTATGTTCTGAGAGTTTCATTAAAATCACTCCAGTGATTCATGAGACATTTTGGTAACAGACGCACAGAGTTGATGCAAAGAGTATTGTGAGAGTTTCAAAGAAAATCTTGTGCAACTTGAAGCTCTCGGAGTATGTGTTATGAATGACACTCAGCTACTACCACACTGTATTTCAGCTCAATATCTGTAAAACAGAGTAAGTTACAGCCATTTTTGTGGTTCCTAAGGTCACGTTACTGTGGCAGTCATATTAAACTGAGTTTATCAGGTAGATGCACAACCAGTGCACTCTTTGAGAGAATTTCATTTAAATCTGTCCATTGGTTTTTGGGACAATTTCCTTACAAATGGAGTTGTCTCCATTAATTAAAGCCAAAGTAAAAAATAAAAAAATAAAAAAAGTAACAGATGCCATACTGTCTGCTAACACTGCTGTTAGTATGTGACAGGAGTTATAACCACTTTTATGTTTGCCAGAGTCGCTTTGCTATGGCGTCCATTTTGAATCGTATCGACTCCAAATGTTAATTAGTTGCAGAAGTCCATGACAAATGAACAAACATTTACACAGATGAGAACATAATTACCATTTCAGCCTTCGGCGGTGGGCGATCATAATGTGACACATTTTGAGATAATATTCTGAATCCTCGCGGGCACTTCTGTTTTTGTATTTAGGGTGTTTTTACTAAAGATAAACACCCAGAGACAGTCAGAGTAAATCTGACCAGAAGGGGGGAAAAAGATGAGCAAAGAGCATCAGCATTCATCGGGTTTCCCTGTTCAGCCTTGAGGTCACATTTACATTCTTATTAAAGTAGAGTCCTCCATCTCCTGTGGGGCCTGTCATCCAAACAGGTAAAAAATAAAAGACTACAATGTAGCAATCTATTCACTCAGCCATGGGGTTGCATTGAACTCAGCTTGCCTCCTACTTTACCTTGCTGTCCACAAGCAGGTTTCTTATACATCCAGTATAGTGCTTGTGTTGCAGCTGAGGATATTCATACGATATGTTCTCATTGACTCCTCCGAGCTGCAGCACGTGACTTCCATTCAGGTACCTGGGAATGTACAAGAACAGAATGTGAGCTGAAGGAAAATGACACAAGTCTACAACTCAAAATGTAGCTCACAGTGGAAAAAGAAACACAACACAAACTGCAAGCAGATGGATTAGAAGAACGTGTGCACACTAAACAAGCTGTCAACGTTAAAATTCATTGTTTCCTTCAGTTTTTGCTGATGCTGTCATCCCTTTTTGGACCTCCACAAAACAAATGTGACACCTTTTTTATATTGTTCCTTTGCTCTTATTTTGAAATTATGCGTGACGGGTAAATTACATTTCTCAAAAACAATCAAACTCCAAAGTGATTTGCTACAGAACTTTGATTATTTTCCAAATCTTGTGCCAGTGCTAAACTCAAAGCAGTGGGATGCGTTTAATGCTGTTTATGTTCTTGTCTGTCAGCAATAATATGCAAAATATATCAAACTAAAATTTTAAAACTTAACCAGGAGAAGGGAAAATCAATAAAAGGTTAATTGATAAGTCTTTACCTAAAGCACAGTCAAGACCATAGAGTAAACTGGCTCCTAAAATGGTAAAATAAATGTATTACAAGTTAAAGAAAACCATGTGAGCATCATTGGTATGTGTTCAATGTTAATTTAATAATCTTGCAGCCTAATTGTGCAGCATAAGAATGAGCTTGGATTGGCAAACCAAGGCCATGGTGGCAGTAAACAAGCAGAAGCTGCTCTGAACAGACACAGTTAGAGATTAATTGGCATTTTAAGGATTATATCTGAGAAATTCATTAACAGTTCTTTCCCCCAGAGAGGACAGTCTGGCACACTAAAAACCTGAAACATTCTGCGTCACCATCTGATTTGAGTTTAATAAATAATACAGCTTGTATTTTTTATAAACCACGTTTCAGAAATGACTGTCTGAACATTAGCAGTAAGAATATGGAACAACCATAGTGTTTTTCCTGCTAGGTTTTCGTTAAAACCTACTTAAGATAAAAGGACTATGGGGATGCTATTGTTTTGTGAAATGTTAGAAATGGTTAGATGCAGAATTTAATTGAGAAGCAATGAAAAAAGTACTGAGGGACTTTTTAATGCATGCAGAATTAAATGACTGATCTAAAAAAATCTACTGTCTCAGGTTCGTTCTTATTTTTGTTAATCTAAAGCAAAAAAAAAAAAAACATGTCAGGTAAAAAGTGTTTTAGTTTTACAGATAATTACATTAAAGTTGAACCATTCCCCAGAGGGATGTAAATTGTCTTCTGTTTGTCATAGCAGAATGTTAGCCAATGATCATTTTGAGAAATGACAAAATAATAGATGTTTTGATTTTAGTATTTGTTGTGACTGACTCTCAGCTACTACCACAAAATATCGGTTATAAAATAAGTCATTTTGTGTTTTCTGTGTGGCATCTATTTTCTTTTTTTTTTTTTTTTTTTCCATTTGTGTGTCCAATACATCTTAAATGAAACTTTGATTAGTTACAATCTGTGTTTTTCCATTTTTTGTTTTCATTTTAAGTTTTTTTAATCAGTGATTTTCTGTATTTTTTTGTGTTGAGTTTGGTTTCTTATCATTTCCCAGTACTTTCCTCAGTCAGCTTCTATTTCTCAGTAGAAGGAGGAATCCTGCCACTCCTGCCTGAAAATTGGGACGATGTTACCATCATCAGGCTAGCTACCGCTCATTAATTCACAGTCCATTATATTCTGCATTCATATAGCTGTTTAACATTGTGGTCCTTGTATATACATATAC